GCTTCATCCGTCCGCTTCTTATTGCTGCCCATCGAATACAATCCGCTGTGTCCGACTGCCATTGTCTTCTGATTTCCGCGCTTGGTTTCGCGCACCGTCTAGGACTAGTATTAACTAGTCCTACAAATTGGTGACCCCGATTCGCGCGCTTGAATTCCACCTTTTATTTCTCGTTCGTACTTTTTGGTGAGTTCGTTCCTTTTCCTCGATTATATAGCTATATTCATTTGGTTCTTGCGTAAGTTAAGTACCTTTATCGCATTTTGTTCATTCTTTATCTTTCGACTCATATTTCGAGAGTGGCATCTGAGTCATTTCACAGCGTAAACATGCTTACTTTGGCTGTTCCAAGTTTCATGAACCACAACCCAGGGTTTTGCTTCACGATATTCGTGATGGAACTGGAAATTAGGGGTATTACGGCGGACCGTCCGAGGTACAATCAGCTCGTCCCACGCCTTCTTCCGTCGGTTGTGACGCTGATTGAGGACATTCTACTCTGTCCATCGAATGAGGCAAAGTATGAAACGATGAAGCAAGCGCTTTTAAAAGAGTTACGGCCCAGCGCACGAACTCGATCTAAGCAGCTCAATGGCCTCAAGCTTGGAGATGGCAAGACGTCGGCGTTGCTCCGCGAACTTCAGCGCATCGCTGGTCCCTTATTCTTGAGCGAAGAAGGGATAAAGGAGCTACGGTTTGCACTTCTCCCAAAGCCATCGCCGGTAATGCTGTCCATGTTCATAGATACACCCCTGAAAGAATTAGCTACCAAGAGAGACGCTGCGTTCGAACGTCTTCAGCAGCAGACGAACAGTAGCTCCGGTGACGTATTCTCACCGCTGAAAACCGAATCTCATGTTTGCTCTCAGTCGTTAGACTGATCTGACTCTAAAGACAAGGAAATTGCGCCACCTCGTAGCAAGGTAGCAGCCATGAAGGCTTCGAAGCAGCGTGTGTCACGGTCAATTGCTGACCACGTTTTGCCTACCGTTCAATGCGGCTCATTTGTGCCTGCACGAAATACGTCAGGTTCGGCACGAAAGCGCAACATTTTCCCTACAACTTCTTAGTCAGATAATAAAAATAAATATAGGTATATTTCTAGACAAGCGCTAGATGCTGTTCCTGCGTGGGATCAGATAAAATTGTACATAACATCCATGCTCATGCATGGAGAAGAAATATCGTAAACAACTGCTTTTGATCGTGTTTATCTTTCCGAACGATAAAGCAGGGATAAATACAAACGTTTCGTAAGCCTCGACATTTTTGAAGGCAGTAGTTTGGGTCTCCGTAGCTTATGTACGAATTCTGCGCTTTTCACCGGCTTCAGCAGCCAAACCTTGAGGTGCCTGATTCCATTAGTAAACTATCAATCTACTATGCCAATGGATTGTGTTATTTTTGATGGAAAATGCACCACTAGAGGAAATTTGA